CACACAACCACACCATCGGTTGAGTCCAGGACTTTTTATATCGTGAAGAGCATTTAATCCTTAGATCGCTAAGCCAGTCTAACTACAATTAATTCAGGTCATCAGGGTCAGCTACAACGTAGGACCAGACACATATATGCATCGGTCCAATTAATTCACGATACTGAAAAAAACTCATTCATTGCCTGGGTGGATGACTGTAACATACCCGACGTGATTGAACTTTACTGGTTCCTAGTTATCACTAGAACTTCATAAGTTACATTTTGAATTCACCTAACACTAAGAGAGAATCGGCATCAATACCGTATTATTTAGACTAAGTAACGAGTCATATTGTTTTATTTAGTTTACAATATACAATCAAAAGTAAGGGTCAAAGAAAAACTATGTTTATTACCTTTCACCCCATATATATATATATATATATATATATATATATATATATATATATGGGATATGAGAGGAAAAACAGAGAAAAATCAAATAACTTAAATCTCAAATAAACTAAGTGCTATTGTAATTTTTTAGTACTATATAGGATAGATGAGAATTAAGATATAACATGCAAGCAAAAGAAAATGAAAAAGCACAATACATAAAGACAAACGAAATAATTTGTTAGACAAATTAGCCTACCGGGAGAGAAACAAGACTTCGGAAAATAAACAAAATGAGGCTATAATAAAGCAAAGAACTGGGTAAAAAAAGTAGGAAGATATTTGTTTAGATTTCCAAAAACTGCCATGTTCAATGATAAACAGATAGAAAAGAATATATATATATATATATATATATATATATATATACGCATGCGTAACACAAAGGATGTATTGCAATAAAGCAAATAAGAAACGAACAGGACAAAACACTACTAAATCATGATCTTAAAAACAGATTAATTTGCACACAAAAAGTCGATATGAATATATTTTGAAAAATCCTGTAGTTATGTAAAGATGTATCCTGACATTCTGCAATTTGACATTAGTTACTGACCAATTTACTATAGTAGTAGTATTATTATTATTACCACCGACTGATAATCGCTTTAGAGGACTTGTTTCTTATCACAATTACGTATTTCAGTGGCTTATGCAGTGGTAATCATCTAGGCCCCTGGCTTGGTTATCAATACATCCCCCTTATATCTAATCAACCTAACCAGATTGAGGAAGAAGACAAACTGAATAGGAAACACTAGTGTCGAATAAACTGTATTTACCACTAATATATGATATACAGGGTAAGTGAATCATGTAATCTTAATGACAGTGTTGACCTTTAGCTTGGTGAATAATTCGATTGTTCTCTTTAGTTAACTTAAACATCTACACTTGAATTAATTCACAGTACAACTTTTATGAGTCAAGTGACCCTGAAAAGATCTTTCCTATGATCTTGATATATAAACATATAAGCTAATTCCAACTCATTTCAATCCTGAATACCACATAGTATTGTTCACTTTTGCTTAAAGAAACCTAATAGCCTATTGTTCTGTTTCGATCATAATTTAGATTCTTAAGTACCCAATGTTGTCATTGAATTATGGGTCCAACACACAACTGTAGCAGAGAAAATCATTAGACTTCTAGGAGGATTTATAAATGCATGTTATATTTTACCTTATTTTTGTAATTCCGAATAAAGGGCACCTACCGCAAAGTACCAGATTTATCTTAATTAAGTATCAGTTAATATTCAGGTTAACAAATGACATACCTCAATGTATATTTAGTCATCACATGACTTGGCAAAAAACATTTTGGCATCACAGTCGACTACCTCTATGATTTAACAAATTTTAGGGAGAATGCTAAGTAGTTGGAGATAGTCAACGGGCAACCCTGAACATGGGTTGTATGATTATTGTCACTTGTCAGCAAGGTACACTCGTAACCTCGAGAGACTTGGTGCCCCTTTGCGAACTCAATCTCGGATCACTGAGCTTTAAAATTTGGAACGTTATCACTGAGTTATTCAAGGCAGCACTGAATGACCTTGTAGTATCGGTGTGCATGTTAAGCCCATATACTTTATTCTAGTTGCTGGCCAAGCCAATTCACCTTTCCGTTGAGTCATCTTTTGATCTTGTTAATCATTTGCTTATAAACCTTGACTATATTTTTATATGAGCGTATATGTGTGCACACTTCGTATCTTATTCATCATATGTCTGTCACTCATTTTTGTCTGACTATAAATGTTGATTAACGCTTGCTTAAATCGAGTTGGCTTCCCGGCCATCTCCACTGCATGTCATTTCCGCCTCGTTCGCTTCCTTCGCCTGTTCACTCGCTCTTTATTATTCGCACAGGTGTTGTTAACTTTCTAACCTGAGTTATTCGACAATAAACTGTAGTTGAATTATAACGGTTATCTAAGTAAACGATTAACGAATCGCGGCACTACAACCTCTCTTAGGACTCACATATTTACAACTGACAGGTCACTACCCCGTAATCAACAAATTGTTTGTTTTACTCTCTTAGATTTGAAAAAATACCTTGATAAATACTGATACCCATAAAAATCATGCTCAATTTCGAATACATGCACCACTTGTAGCTACTTAATAAACTTCATTAAATCAAATCAAATCATCAAAATAAATTATACGCTAGAAGTCAACTGGTCGAAATATTTAATGCCTTAAAAACATTAGGTAATCGCGTACGTCTCAACAGTATCATAAAATAGTTATTCTGCGTTAAAAAATAACCAAATCAAATTATTGACTTCTGACTCAATAGTTAAATATTATGTTGTTGACCACATAATTTTAACTGTTTGGCGCACTGATAGAATTCAATGACCATATTCATCACAAGTCTCAAATTAATCTAAGATTGGTACATCTTAAATGGTGAAAACGCATGATATTAAACTAGTAGGCTCCACGTTGAAATTTCATTTTAACCACTTCAATTTAAATAACCAGATATTATTAATAGGTATTACAAAAAAATCAATATATATGCCTCACAGACAATCCACTCAGCGAATGAAGGATGCATGTTTAAGTTATCTTTCAAAGAGAACTACTTCACAGTTGCTTGCCCCCAAATGTCCTTGTACGGTTGAGGGTGAGGAGAGTCTGTTCCTCCTCGAAATGCTCTTACATGGCCAATAGTATACAACCACTGTCACGGAAGTCCTACTCACCTTTCTCACGGTGGGGTGTTATTTACTAAAATTGAGAGGACGAAAAGATAATGTTCGGTGCTTTAATTGGGCTAGTGAACACGGAAGGTTCACCTAGAAGGGTTGGAAAACCCTTATTCCAAATCAATGGTGCTTATGGTCTTTAGGATCCCGAAGAAACAAATGGCGTATGAACCTATTGTTGATCACCGGCTACCATGGGACTGCATCTCTTAACGTTGCTCTACTACCTTGTGGAATAGAACTTTAGGTCAAAGACTCCAGGTGTGGCCCCCCAAGAAAAACACCTGCTTCGGTTTGGGCACTCGGACAGTATCACAGCCTTCACACAAATCAGTGATAACTACTACTGGCCTTATTGTTATTATGTGAAGTATATTTATTTAGTGACCCTTTATGCAGATGTTTGTGTTCAAGTAAATAATGAATAATGCTTGTACTACACTATAATCTTACGATACTGAAAAGCAATTTTGATTTATTTCAACAATTTCAACGAAACTATTCTACTATATACTATTAATCAAAGTTGCTAATTTTAACATTGATGTGTATTGTGTTATAAATTCATTGAAGACTAGTAAACAATAGCAACTAATTGAAACTACCATAAGAGGATAAAGTCATTTTTATAACTTAAGAGAAATATACTAACGATTCTAAAAATTTTCGATTATTTCTGAAAAGTACCGTAAGGACAAAAGATCTTGTAAACAACCGAAGAATGAGAACAGATGCACATGCGCGCGCGTGTTTGTGCATACACACATAAATTAACTTATTTTGGTAATCAGCGTGTTATATACACATATTCATACTGAAGCAAACACAAGCAAACGTGAATTATTTTATAAATATATATATATATAAGCACAAATTAGTTTGCATAGCCATAGTTTATAAATCCAATGGTCACAAATCAATAAGTTAATAAACGCTAAAAGATGTGAAAATGTAGTTTATATATAATTACAATAAGTTCACAATCATTTTTTCTCTTACTATTTAAGAATGTGCCGGTATGAGTGTGCATGGAAAAATACCAGACTGACTTCATCTATATATATATATATATATATATATATATATATATAGGTCATTTTTAAGTGTACTGAATAGCTGCCACTAATCAATGATTTAAAAATATGATAACATTTATTTTGTAATATATACTAGTAGGTTTACTATATATTTTTAATAGTCTCCCGGTTTTCTTTTTGGTGTATTATCGATCAAATGAAATATTGCTAAGTTACTGAATAAATTACTGACACTAATCAATTTGTATAGATCAAAGTAAACAGAATAAAATTTAATCAAGACCTATAAATGAAATTTTGGTTTCATAATTTATAACACTAGACAACGTTGGACAGTTGATTCATCCCAGTATGAAACTAACAATGTATATCCACAATCAGATCACAGGTCGAACCTAAGATCTTTACGTCTAGTGGAGTGAGTCTAACCTATAGATTATTGAGTTGATGTCAAATAGTTTACTTGTTTAGAATTCAATCAATTCATGACAATGTGTAACCACTTTAAATGCCTAATACCTGACATGGTTGAACTCCACTGGTCACAACTTCATACTAGAACTATTGAAATTACCTCTCGAAATCCTAGTTGTAAGCCAGGAAGATTTATCCAAATTAATGAGATCTCAGTTAGTCAGTCGTACACAGTGGAGAACCTACTGCATATGTGCATTGATTCACGTTGTCACACCACATTAGAACAGAGAGATGCTAGAGTAGAAGTAGTAATAGTATTTACGAAATTTTAAATAATATTCGTTAAAAAATAACGAAGCTGGAAATTTTACTCACTTCAGGAAGTTTTTCAGATAACTGTCTATTTAAAACATCTCTTTCTCTTTCAGCTTCCGCAAGCCTATTCTGTGTAAATACCAACTGATCTTGTGCATCATGTAGGCTTTCCATTAGTCTATCACGTTCATCCAATATACTCAATAGCATATCTTCAACGTTTGTTCCCTCTCCACTTGCTTGTGAGTCTCGATCTCCTTGACTCGAATTACCGTCCTCCGATATAGTGGGCATAACATCACACATTTTTGATAGGCGAACCTAAATAATTTTTTAAACAATAGTGATTGAAATGTCATTAACTGCTTGGTAAAAGTACAATAAAGTAACTCAGGAAAATAAGAAGAAACCAATTACCAACACATGTACTTGCGTAAACCTTCTACATTTCAAGATTATACGAAGTACAAGTAACCTAAACATTGCAACTCATATCCGTCCGAGTATACCTAAGTAAATAAATACACTATTTATATGATGGTGCTTATAATTTGTTGATTACCTTTAAAACAAACTCACTTTACTGGATGTTAAAAGTCCATAATTCAATAAGCAACAATTTTTAAAACACATTTGAGCTAAAAATGTCACTCAAAAGTGAGTGTTTAATAGAACGAAAACCATTTTTAACGAGAAAAGTATCTTGAATAACTTAAAACAATTAAAGTGAAAAGCATTAACCATTTCAAATAATAAAGTATAATAGCAACTGTCCCAGTGAGCACAATAAAAGTGTTTCATTGATTGTACTTTACTTTAACTATATATAATAAATCGCACTGGTGGGACTCGCTTCATGTATATCTTAATGAAAACGTGATAAGCGATTAGTAAATATTTAATAGTTAATCAAGTATATCAAGTTATGAAGTAATCATGACTAAAAAATGTTGTGAGAAGAATTATAAAAGTAACTTTAGAAAAACTCAAACCGACTTCTGTACTAATCAACTGCACACATATTAAATCAATGTTAATGATTAAGAAACAAAACAGAGAATCCCTAACTTTATGGTGTACGGCGAATTTTATCCTTCAGTACACTTCTCATAGATATCTACATAAAACATACTTTGATAGAACTGTCTTACTTAGGTATCCGGATATCTAGTTCTTTGTAATTAATGTTCTTAGAGGTTATCTTACTAAACTCTAAACATCCTGAGTGACAAACCTCTATTTTGCGAGGATAAACTAGCCCCATCACCGTAAAAAATATTTTAACTTATGCCAAGCATTTTCATACGATAAAAAATATTCCAATTTGGACAAAAAATGTTCTTAAATTACATTTCATAAATCCAGTTAGATTAACATAATTTTACCAAAAATCTGGATCGATAGAGATTAATAAGGATCATCAACTGATATTCTGATGTTCAGCTATACTCTTTTTTTGAAGATGAATGTTAAGCAGTTAAACTGAAAACATATGATCAACTGTACCTAGTATATGCAACCAAAATGAAAATCTATAAGAAGCAAGCATATTTCAAGTCGTAGATTAGTAGTTACTGTCTCTAACTCCTGATTTACAAATCTAAATCCTAATCCATATTTAAAGGTATGGAGAACCGTACTTGGATAAAAAGTCGTTACCCAAAAACTAGTACACAAAACGGTATATATGGTCAAGTAACATTTGATTTCTATCCCAGCAAATAGAATTATTCAACAGAATACTTTCAATATGTATAGATTTAAGGTGTTAAATGTCTCAATCTCTTATACACATACTAAATTTCACTAGCAACTTGTACCACGTTAACCAATATTCAACAGACTCATGATAAAAGTGAGAAGATAGTTTGAGTGAAGTGACAATGCATAACAACACAAAGCAAAAGCAAAACAAATTATTTAGGTGCCTGTAGTCAAGAACAGATATATCCCACATCCTTTATTATCGTATTTTCAACTCTATATTAGACGTTTTACGTTTTGCAATAGTCACTCAGTGAATAGTAATTGGTAAACTGATACATGTCTTACATCTAGTTTTCATACCACGTCAGTACAGTGAAAGGAAATTATCAAGACAAATATCAGAGTATTAGAAGTAGTAGCAGTATCAGTGACAGCAGAAGAGACTAGGTTTGAACATAGTGATTTAAGAAGAAAAACAAACTCGCTAAAGAAAAAGTAAAGATACTTTGTAAAACTCAGGATCTAAGAGAATACAAGAATTGTATCGGCGTCATTGTGGCTGATTCTAACCCAAATTATAAAACATCTCTAATCATTAGTAGCGAGTATCGCACGGACCCCAACCAAGTAATCTGGACATATGAAACGGGCTCAATCCAACAGTCAACCATTTTATGGACGAATGTTAGGTTTTCGTTTATCCGTCACTAGCTTTCTTCCAACATAATCCCACATCATCAAACAGTAATATGGTGAATCAGATAATAGCCTTAAGTAACTGGTATATTGAAATCGTTTAAAATGCATCTTTAAATTCCACGACAACTATACTATGTAATGTTCGAAGTAAGACAGAAAATAGGGACTGAATAAAGTAGAATAACTGCTTTAAATCCATATTAGTGGTATGAACGCTTGTATATTTCCGCAAGAATTAAACAATCGAACTTGATTAATTTTTCCTAGGACCTTCTTGAAAGTTCAGAAGATCTAAAAATAGTTATTATTACCATTTCCCACGTCATTACTTGCCTATAATTACGGATACGAAGTAGTTTTGAATCCTAGTACAATGCTAGACGTTAAGAGTATTTGATCACTGGTATTTCCATAGAATCATTTCTACAGAATGAAAGCACTCAGTAAGAAACTTCAAAACTATAAGACTAAGATCTGAGGTGTTTGGAATGTATTGCGTGCATGTAACCCCTACCAATATCTATGCACTACACTAGTTGGATCACGGTTAAAATGACATTATGAATAATCGAACTCAGAAGGTAATAAATAATTAGATAAATAAATGTTGGTCAGAGTTGCCACAAAAAGTATGGGCTTTTACTCGGAACTTATTAGATAATAAAACTGGTGACTACTTGTTGAAATCATTCGCAGTAACATTTCGATCCATGTTTTCTTCCTATAAGCGATAGGTAACCATATCACTAGGAATCGGAAACGTCAGCTCCCAGGTCAGTTATGAAGTTAACTATAACTAATATAAAGCCTGGCACAAGCATGTGTAAAAACAACTCATAGTAAATTACAAAAAAGAGAAATTAACATAAAGGATAGCAAATAATTCAAAATAATATTAGTATCAACGTTGGATAATAACATTAAACACTTGGAAATACTGTTTTAAAAGACGGAATGTATTTGAAGAATGAATACAGTAAAGTGATATTGAAGCTTAGATCTTGGGGGTGGTATAAAGACTGAATAAATCGGCCACATTGCGACCGATTCTGAGACATGTTCTTCAAGTACTGATCATGGTTATATATCGGATTCCAACCACCATTATTATTCAGTCTGATATTCAGTGGCTTAATGCACTGATCACATGTCTTGATTAAGCCAACCCTAACTTTATTCCGACCTGTCCCTACTCTGGCCAGCATTGCGTCTTGAGGTCGGTGGGATCAGGGTATGTGTTACTTATGTCTAAGACACCTCATTTTGTGATTTTCCACGACCTCATCAACCGATTTCCAATGTTTTTCTACTACTACTTCAGGATTTCTCTGCCAGTTGTTCCATCATACCTGAAGAAACCAATGATCAAACCATGCGGTTTATGAACGTCTTCTATTTCCAAGGATCATATCTGGTAACCATATAGTAATACAATCTAGGTTACTAGATAGAATACTCACTCCCTGATTGACAGACAGAGATATCTATACTGAACCACAAGTAACACATGTTGCGATAACCTGTTATATCTGAAGCGTTACGAATTCATCAGTAGCGAACGGAACAAAGCCCATTTTTTGAATCCGATCCAAGACCATGTTCAACGCCGACGCATTAGGCCTTCCACGATAAATATAAAAGGATTGACACTCAACCATTTTAATCACTATAACCAACCTAACCCTTCACTCAGAATTACAAAAGCTAAAACCTCTAGCATACCAGCCAGGTACTCAGTCAGCTGGAACTTCCGAACGATACTATTAAAAATCTGTCCGTCTTTCTATTTTTCTAACATAAAATCATATCTTTATCCCCTAATTTACTCCCTTTTCATATGAGTTCTTTACTACAGAAGTATTGATATTTGTATGCCTTGAAGCTTCACTTCGTTTATCTTTATTGAGTTGATGTAAAGTGTAACAATGTGGAAAGGTTAATATTTGTGGCATGCCCTCGCTATCTTTCATAGTGCCCCTTCCAGTCAAGCATAGTTGGTGAGACCGGTAGGCCCTTCTGAAGAAGAGGCATACATGGAAGCGTGACACAACCACCGCAGCGCAATATTTGTTTATGCGATAGATTTTTTAGTGGTACTGAATTTTCTTTCAAATTCGACCACCGTCCCCAAATGCAAGCATCAGTCTACCAACCAAAGTTACTTGAATTTAACTGGCTGTTGGACTAAGACATGTAGGCAGGCGCATGCTTCGTGACTGGGGTTCGTGTGTTTATCGTAACCGATGGTTAGATACTCTGAATGACATGGCTCAAAATCGTTTGCCATGGTTCAGGCGCATTCTCACTTTGTCTTCTCCTAGATCCTGTATTTCTAGACCACCTTATGACTTTTCCAGTATTTCACCGATTCAAATTTTCTTCTCGAATCATATATTTTATGCCTAATCTTATATACACATAAACATTTGCACAAAGGGTCACTAAATACACATACTTCACATAATAACAATGAGGCCAGTAATAGTTATCACTGATTTGTGTGAAGGTTGTGATACTGTCCGAGTGCCCAAACCGAAGCAGCTGTTTTTCTTGGGGGGCCACACCTGGAGCCTTTGACCTAAAGTTCTATTCCACAAGGTAGTAGAGCAACGTTAAGAGATGCAGTCCCATGGTAGCCGGTGATCAACAATAGGTTCATACGCCATTTGTTTCTTCGGGATCCTAAAGACCATAAGCACTATTGATTTGGAATAAGGGTTTTCCAACCCTTCTAGGTGAACCTTCCGTGTTCACTAGCCCAATTAAAGCACCGAACATTATCTTTTCGTCCTCTCAATTTTAGTAAATAACACCCCACCGTGAGAAAGAGGTGAGTAGGACTTCCGTGACAGTGGTTGTATACTCTTGGCCATATAAGAGCATTTCGAAGAGGAACAGACTCTCCTCACCCTCGACTGTACTAGGGCATATGGGGGACCTAATTTTTTATAGCAACACTAACACTGTAAGCAAAGATGAATAGTTGCTAGCAGTGGAATCCAGTACGCACGTTTCGTCCTAGCTGAGTGTATAACGCGATGGCGTTTGAAGCAAAACGTACTGGGTTCGAGTCCCAGAGTGAACATCACCTCTGAGATGCAGGTACATTCAGCTGACGAGTCCCAAATAGGACTTGACGCGCATCCTGGATTCCACTGCTAGCCACTATCCATCTTTGATTACAATGCTTGTGAAATAAGGCTATATCGAGGCAATACGCACAGTATGCACACATGCCAATAATAGACTGACCAGTTGCAGTCCTAAACATCGATGGGAAGATTCAAACAAGTGACACTGAGTGAATTTAAACTCTAACACTGTTACTATCTCTACTATAAGATTTTCGCTGACAGTTCCGTCTGGCTGTTCCAGCAGTGTATGGTAACTCAAACAGGTGTACACATGTGCTATGTTGTACATTGCATGTTACTGACTAATTTCAATTCAATTATTATTCATTGTAGCTGTCAGGCTTTGTTTTTAGAAAGAATATTAACCTCAAGTTGTGGTCATGAAGAAACAATTATCCTCATCAAGGTAATGAAACATATAGTACAATGGTCTGTTCACTGCTTTGTAACAAGACTTTTCCTTATATGAGCAAAACAGGCTCATTACGATCCACCGTAATATTTAAAACATAAATTCCAATTTAATCAGCCTTTATAAAATACACTCTGAATCCCAAACAAGTATTTCCAGATAACGGTGAAATCATAAATTAGCACTTCATTAGTACAATGCCATAAAAGTGTTGGTTTTCATGGGCGTTAACTAAATGCCATGTCTTGAAATCACTAGCTACGATGTAAACTATCTTCAAGTAATGACCTTTACAGTACATAGGTGACCCCGAGTTTTCCACAAATACTTTGAAGAATCAACGAATCAAAAAGTGAGAAAATTCGGGCCGATATGTTATCGCTTAATTTAAATACAATACTATTTAACTATGAGCTAAACAGTAACAGCGATCACAAAACTATCTAAAGAGATAATTCATCCATCTCCACTATGTAATAGACATCTAGAGAGTTATCATCAAGATATGATAAACAGCCAGTACCGAATATTTCGTCTTCCTCTAAGAAAACGAATTATGGAAATTAAGAGTCTTACATTATCACTTCAAGAGACATTGTATGGACAGGCTAGCGATAATTCTACGAAAGCTAGCATTTAAGTGTATAGTTGCAAAGTATTTGAACAGCTTAGTAATAACGTGACTGCCCTTTGTAAGAGTTACGGCTTGAGGATGAACAAAACATTCGTCAAGACAAAAATAGTCCGACGAATACTTCAGAAAAGTATCTATAAGGAGCAGTAATTAATAAATAATACAACCATGAACAAAATCAAAAATGATAAGTTTTCATTAGATACAAAACGCTCGATATAATAAAACCATCAGGGGAGTTAAAATGCTATCAAACCAAGGATCACATATGTAAGTACTAACGGTAGCTAGTTGAGGCATAATCCCGTGGTTTTCTAAAGCTTCACAACAAACTACAGCATGATCAACAATGATTTTTGAGTCATATTCGACGTTTCAAATTACTGCTTAAGATTTTAAAAAATGAAAATTTACCAGGGATATTTATCTTGAAACAAATACTCCGTTACTGGGCACCAATCAATAAAGAAAAATACTCAATGTCCATTAATAAAAAGCTATGAACATGAAGTATAAAACGTTTATCAAAAACCATGCTGACTCATTAACCATCTTCACAACTAGCAGCGTCAAAGTGTTTTCTTAGTCTAAAGGCCACAACACAAAGACAATTATAACCTAAAAGTCATCAAATAATAAACACTTGGACATACGGATTGAAGACTCACAGTTGGCTAACATGTGACTAAGTCGAGATACAAACATGGTTTTGCCACTATCACTTTATTACGTATTTTTGTTAGCCTTACAAATATGTGGTTAAAATAATACAATCAATTGTTATTGATTCAGTGGTAGTTGTCCAATGAATGTTTCCTGCACTAAAAACCAAAATGTAGAAACAGATGTGGACATTAGCCAAACATACTCTTTGACAGTTATTTCAAAGCTAAACGACGAGTTCTTCAATACAATGTACGAGTACACTGCAAATAATCCAAATGTTACGAATGTTTGTTCAGAATATGAAATCCAAAACATTAGTCAATACTTCATTTATAAACCACATCTTTCTAACATGTATACTAGTCAAGCTCGAATCACTGCTCCAATGCAGTAAGAGAAGCTGGCTGAAATTTGTTGTAAATTGTTACATACTGTTACAAACGAAGTTAATAATATTATATTAAGAAATGGAAACATTTCTTGTACTTGAGACTGAATTAATACAACTTCGTTTGACCAGTAAGTAATTACGAATTTAAAGGCCAAAGTTAGGAAACTCATGAAATTTAAATTGCAACAGAGTATAAGCGGGTATCATTTAGTTTGATGAAAGTGTTCGTTCGTGAATAACGTTATTCACGTTATTTTTGTTGTAGTACTGCAACAAAATTCTTACAGAGCTATTCCCGTGAGACGCAATGATCATAATGACGACTTATACAGTCAAAATGCGTATGAATACATCAGACGTCAGATTTTTCCGGAACAGTATACTTGCGCGCAAAAGTATCTGATAAATGTATACAAAAACTACTGTATTATATTAATGTTTTCACAATTTTGCAGGCAGCATTTATTTTTAGGATATGAGTAACAGAAAATTTTAGACGACTTACTTCTAGATCCGAAAACTGATTTGAATTCTTTTATATATCCGTACAATAGTGGAAACCCATTTTGTTAAATGTGAGTTTTCAAATTTGCGCCAGTTTAGACGCCATGAGGTGCTGCAGTGTAATGACGCACCTAAACTTTATAACGAGTTGATTTAAAATGACTAACTGTTACCCAAATATTCGGATAAACACATTAAACTGTTATATAACTTTGCGTCAAGCCCGAAGGCCCTTTGAAAGCCTGCAGAGTACCGTCATTTTAATGTTTGAAAAATGAAGAACTAGAGAAAAGGTCAGCCGACAACCTAGAAAGCGTAGACAACACACTTACATTTAATAAAGAACGCGATAATTAGCTACACGAGCCCCAGAATAATAAAATCTGGAAATTGAAATCGTTGATAGTTATTTTAACCCGCTAAATGCTGTGCGATTTAATTACTTATTATAATCCGGCCAAAAATACTAGAATGGATTAGTTAATTGTCTGAACTAAATGAAGCAAGACTGATTATACATCATTTTGGATGAATATTCAATTTCCTGAAATGAACTCGTGAGAAGGAAAGAAAAATATCAAGAAATGAATGTCAGAAAAACACGGCTAATTGTAAACTGCAGGAGCTAAATCTGAACAGCAGAAATCAGTAAATGTTTGCGCTTTGGACTTATAAGAGCCTAAAATTGAGTATATAGAGAAAGGAAAGAAAGCATCATTTCCCTAATGTAAACTAGTGGTCGAAAAATGGTATTTTAACTGGGCAAAGGAACAATTAAGTTTTCCCTACCGCCCTCTGTTTAAGAAATCGGTACTTATAGAATACATAATGAGGTCGGTATTTTCGCAACCAACAGAACTTGACGAAATGCACCTTACATTAACGAAGAAATTCACATCTTGCGAAAAGATATCCTTTATATATAGATGTGGTGTTCGTATGAACTTACTTACTTACTTACTCCTGTTACTCCTCGTGGAGTATAGGCCGCCCACCATCACCCTGCATTAAACCCTGTCCTGGGTAATCTTTTACAGTTCTTTTCGGAAAATGACACATAAGGCCTATTAAAAACTCTGAATTTACCAAAAAAGCTTATTTCTTTTCCCTATGCAACTCTCAAGGAACTACTGCTAGGCCATGTAAAATGTACATATTTTGAATGCTGTCAAGGTGGAAAACGTTGTGACATAATTCATCAGGACATCAGCTATTTCCACTACATCACTACGTTATCCCAACCCAATGTGTATTCAAGGTTATGCAGATAATTCACTGAGGAGTTGCGATGCATGTCACTAAGGTGGCAACGAGTTTGGTCAGTGTTTGTCCTGTGGCAAGTTTCAATCATGTAATTCATATGTATTTCGTAATCTTGAATGCTTTAAATGTGGTAAAATTAGACAAATGTAGGCAGTTTGAACTACTGTAGTCAAAAAGAAGGCGAACGAGTACAATCGAATGTATTTGAGCACAAAATTACAGACTGTCTCACTAAAACCTGACATCCGTACAGTAAGCAGTTAATTGGCGAACTACCAATCAATTGCCTCAAACTTGACCGTTCCTTCTGCAAATATCAGTCCATAGTTTTCGATTATTGCTGTACATGCATTTTCATATCAATCGCGTTTCCTTTCCGTTCTTTCGTTATCGATCTTCTAGTGAAATACATTCAGTGTTACTGCTTGGTTGAATTGAATTATTCATAGGGTCCCTAGTGTGTACAATAATCCAGATACTCCCAATCATCACAATAGACTTCAACCAATCTGTGCCGATGGAATGCAATCGAAAAACTGAACGTTTGCCTGCACTAGTCCCATCTTTAAAATATGGCTGCACCACAAACCTACGAATTACCGTCATTAGTTTAGCCAGCCTAGTTGTAAAAATTTAGGGATTATTTTTACCGACTTATATGGGTATTTAGATGAAATTTTGAAGCTCTATAAATAGCGAAATAGTATTAGAACACCATAACCTTGACTCCTGAAATTATTGGCAGCGTGCGAAAAATGATGTCCATTAAAAAAATTAAGAGTTACCAACAGGTTTAAACACTGCTAAGTTCAACTACATTCGGAGCGTGTTCCACAAACCGAACTCCAATACCTGAACCAGAGGAAACTTGCTTCTTTTCTGGATCATGACAAAGAGTAGGAGTTAACCTCAAGTGCTGTGATGGAAATTTAATTTTTCGAACAGAGCTGTGGAATCTGCCACTGAATGTCATTTACATTTACATTTACTTTAGTCTCATCCCTATCATAAATCTCATCCCAGACAAATACGCATTGAAACTCTTAAACAGTGTTCACGACTTCAGTTTAAGGTATGACAATAGTTTGAAGTTTTCAGAGCACAGTGTATCTCGAGTAACCAAAGCTAAAACGTTCATTTGACTCATAATGATGAATTTCAATAACATTGAACCTTGATTATTATTGCATAAAAACTGTATCGTTCCCATTGTGCTATAAGGTATTCTAGTGAACAGTAATTTTAGGCATAGTGACTAAACAGAAATTGAAGATACTCGAAGAAAATTCATTAGAGCTGTTTTGGAGTATTCTGACAACAATGATTACCACAACAGATTTCAACAACCCAACTTAGAAACCCTCTGAAGCATGCTTATTAAATCTTTATCTACTGGCTTATGAATCGTATTTCTCACTCTTGTCACCCATCCGTAGCACTCTATCATATTCACCCACAACGTATACAATAAGGGGAACTTTCTATTGATTTCGACAACTCCTACAAACTGACGTCATAATTTCTTCGTCATTCGCTATCTATGTAAAGAAATACTGGCAAACTTCCGTTGCAGTAAAACTATAACCGTTCGAAGATTTATTTGATAGGTTATCCATATATCAAGGATCGACTGATCTACACTAGCTAGCAGGAGATGTTGAGCACGGCGTTTCCACTCGTGAACTAGTGCGGATGAATGACCGAGCGCCTTCAGCTAGGTGAGTCCATTAAAACTTATGTGGTCAGCATACAATGTCGAAGACTTACAAAGCTATTGATTTTGGGGATTAATTTACCGCTACACTTCGCTATCCATATGGAAAGAACTATTAGCATACCTCCGTTTCAGTAACACTATAACCTGGTTCCAGAGTCTTCTTGTTGACTTTCTCTCCGAAAATGGATTCAGCAGCGTATTAAATATACCGAGAACACAACTATTCGAATGCGTTATCGTATTTCTGAACATCAACGCCCATGGTTGACCGAAGGATAAAAGAAATTGATAAGAAACTCCATCTTGACGCATCTAGTTGATACTGGTCACTAAATAGATAAAACCTCAGAGTTTACAGACGAATTCACTTGTAGTTTCAGAATCCCACTCCAGCATATAGCAGAAGCCATATGAAAACCCTTAGAAAAACTCACCTTTGTATACAGAAAAAGTTTATGCGACCTTTGAATATATACTCTGGCTTTCTACTTAGATACCATTTCATGTTTCAAAAACTTTCCCTTTTAAAAAGCTTTACGAACTTCTCTTCTATTAACATTGTCGCTTTTAATTCTGACATTAAGTAACATGTTTATTGACCATATTATTTAACTTTCACAATCATCGCCCTGCTAATTACTTATCATAGATTTTATGGATGACAAAACACATTTATATTTTCTTCCAGTTTAATTATGTGACGATTTGTAACGATTAACGGATTATGGAAATCCACATCAGCTTTAATCTTTACTTTTCCAAACGATATGTAACAAACTGATTGTTATTTTGTCTAATTGGCATTGACTTCAACTCACTTAAAAAACAGGTATATCTGTACGGAGCCTTGATGAAAAACTAATTGAAAAAATATTTCTTCTCTCACCTTATCTTATCAAATATCAGTATGATCACCAATAATTTGTTTGGACAGGATCCGAATTCGGTATTGCCAAATTCTGATTGTGCAGAAGTGTGAAGGGATTCATTAGGCCGAAGGGATAGTTCGTAGCTTCGGAAAACTCTCCAACACCTGTCTAATGCCTAATTACGAATTGTGATGCATATCTTACATAAACACGCAGATACATACTCAGTAATCTGCACTTCGTTTTCATCAACTTCGAAACCGCTAAATATTCTTTCAATAGCCCCCAAAGTTTTTCCAGTCAGCTGTTTAATAAGTAAGGCATTCATCAACCTAGATCTTGCGTCATTCGTTCATGGTTTATTGGGGTGGAGTTTGACCATTATTTGAAAGACGAGGATAACTTGTCTAATGTGGATTAAGACCTTGACGTGATATGCTGCTTGGCTTAACCTTATGCGTGAGTTTGAAGTGCAAGTAGAGAGACGAAAACTATTTTATCCCTGATTGGCTGACAGGCATGCGCGAGAGAAGACAAGACTACTGGAACACTCCTCGCTTTACTCCGAATTCCTATATGATACCCATTCCAGGTTAGTGTAAAAAGATACATGAATAAATAGATGACTAACCCGACCAAAACGTACAATAATTAGGAAAATACTATTATACCCAAAAATGGGGGACTAGGGTATAAAATACGGTACGAAAGGTTACGTCTAAATTACAATGGCCCTGGAACAGAAAATTCTATTGCGGAGAATCATACATCAAACGAAATCTTATGATCTGTAGAATAGACTAAAGGCAGAAGTAAATGTTAATGTTATACAAGCTTTGAATTAAATGGATTAAAGTCCCCAAAAATAGCTTCCATAGTTTATCAAGACTTCTTGCTTCTCTGTTCACATCAGTTTGATACCTGAGAATCAAGGAAATATATCCAACAAGGTGGCGTCAGACACCCTGTAACGATTCCAGTAGTCTTTCCAAACAAACAGTCCAATGTTACCAATCATACACTGAATCACGCCATGTCCCTGAGTTTATTCAAATACGACCTGATTGTCAATAGTCCGGCAACATGCGACAGTAAACAGAGCTATTCGAGATATGTCTTTGACCAGGGTTAAATTATGAAGGCCTCGACAAGGAAGACTGAATAAAAAAATCGTGGTTA